TGGGAGGGCTTATCCGTTTGGATTGACGGAAAATTGGGGTAGGATTTTCTCAGAAGATTTTCATCGGCGAAGAGGTCCTGATGGAATCGAGTTATCCCTCTCTAAAGACGAAGAATTTAGAGAGAGAAAATCGAAAGAGAAGGAAAAGTGTAGGGTGAGAGGGATTTTGATGGAGTGGAAGAGAGCCGACTAGGCGACAACCCAATCCGAAAGCCTTTCCCGTAAGGAGAAACCAGGCGAGTTGACTCGGCCGACCTAAAACCTGAGGACTCGGTTAGCCTCGTCGAAATCGTACCGGAGGTTAATGAATTGAAATGAACAGAAAAAATATATAAATTTTAATTAAAAAAAATAATTACTGTAAAATTTTAACAACGGCTTAGCATCTTGTAATAATAAAATTTTAAAGTAAGAAATGACAATTTCTTAACTTGTCATTGAGGCTTTTTGATAGTTTTTTTTTTTTCATAGAACTCTATTACAATTCTCCCATTTTAATTTGTTGAGTTAAAGAATTACATTTTGACCAAAGAAGTTATAGAATTACATAACTTGATTTATTTTAAGTAAAAAAACTTTTAAAAAAATATAAGAACTGAGGTAGTATTTTAAATAAAAAAGAGTTTAAGTAAAGAAGCTTAATTTCTTGTTGTCTTATTTACTGATTTATTGATTATTTAAATAAATTAGTTAAAATCATTAATTTTATTAATTAGTGACTCCAATGCATGATTGCTTGGATGGGATCAACCGAGCCAATCATCGACAAATGAATCTTTCAATCCATTCTTATGAGCTAAATCATTCTGGAAAATTGAGTCATCATGATTGGTGAACCAGTTTGAACTGACTAATTGAATCAAGACTCGAAATTAGTTTTTCAAAAGTGATTTTTATGATATACTACTAAAACGTAAATATGTGGCATGAAAAAAAAAAATTTCAAGTGATTCTAATAATTGTCAAACTCCCCCTATCATGAACCATAGCAATTTTACAACAGTATATGCACTCACATATTCTATTACCTCCCGGTTCTTATTGATCCTAAATATAAGATTTTAATCTATTTTATTTTCTCATATTTATCTATTTTTTTCAAGGTAGCCTTATCATAATGGTAGTTTTAGCGAATACACTTGATTAACAAGGATATTTTAGAAAAAAATAACACTTATTTATTATAAATAACTAACTTAACTAATTTCTTTAATCTACTCAAATTAGTCAAATAGCTTTTATATTAAAGACCTGGATAGTATTATTTTTTTAATACAAAATTTGTATATCATATAATCACCAAGAAACTATCTTCCCTCATCAATCCCTCTTCTTGTCTAACCCCGGGGTATTTTATTAAGAGCTCTGTAAAAGTTAAAACGCAAGCCAAAACACGAAAAAAAAAAACTTTTTGTAGTAATTGTCATTATAGTGTGTGTGTATATATATATTATTTTGTTGAAAAGTTTATTTTAATATTCTTAGAATCATTTTACCCAATGTATTACATTCTACGAACATTTTATTGATGTGTGATGGACATTTTGGGATTTAAATTTTTCAACACATTTACATTATCAATATACATTTAAAGAATCTACAATTATATTAAATTTTGTAATATTTCTTATTTTACTTTTATTTGTTTTATTTATACCATTATATTATGGATGTATGTATATATATACTATTATTTTTATTTAACTATTATGTTGTGTACTCAATTATGGATTTTATTAGCCATACCATGAGAATTGTAAATTGTTGGCTTTTCCGATTCGACTGAGAAAAAAAAAAAATTTTGACACTAACTCCTTCCAACTTTAAATTATGTATAGGTAATTTTTTTTGGTTCCTTTCTGTTTGTAGTAGGCTTGTTTCTGATGTTAGCTTCTTTTTTAGGCGAGTTGGTGTGTTAGGTTGTATCTCTGGGTTGTTTTTGAGTGTTTTTCTCTTTTGGGCTTTAAGTGGCTATTGGTGTTTGTACTTTTCTTGTGGTATTAATAAAAATTAACTGTTTTAAATATAAAAAAATAAAAAATTAACTGTTTTGCTCAAAAAAATTATGTATAGATAAACCGTTAAATGTGAACTCGTGTACAAATAAACTCCTACTATACTACGTTATTTTAGTGAAATTAATACTAGACAAATCAACGGCATGAGGTTATTTACATAAAAATAAAAGTTTTAGGAAGTTTACTGCGGAGTTTTAAATGTCAAGAGAGCTTATCCGCATGCAATCTGAAGTTTCTTTGGGCAATATAAAATTTAGTCTAATTAAGACTGTTCACGGGATAAATCGGAACCAAAACGGTTCCATCCCGATAAACAGTAACCAGACAACTTTATTGTCCTCCGTCCTGGTCAGAACAGGATCGGGACGTCCCGATTTATTTATTTATATTTTTTTGAGTTGTTGGGCGTAATAAAATCTGATTTTTTTTCCTAATTGTAGTTTTTTAGGTTTAGCCCTTGTAAAAATATCCTTTTGTTTTCTTTTTTATTTCTTTGGTCACTATTAAACAAAAGCCCAAAATATTACATATAATAGTCATTAAAAACTCTAATAAAAGCTTTGAACACAATAAAAACTTGTTGAAAATTCTAATAATCAATAGTTTCAAATTATTAACAAATATAAAAGCTCTAAATAAATGGGTCCATAGTTCTATACAATAGTCTCAAATCTTAAAAAAAAATGATATTATATAAAGGGAGAGTTACAATTCAATGAGGTCCCAAATAAGGAAAATAATTAAAACACAAGTCTTAGAGGTTGTCATTCTCATTATAGGACATGTCATTATAGACTGTTGAGGTTGTTATTAGGACTTTTTAGCAATTATTTTTCTTATGTGGGACGTGATTGTAATTCCTCCTTATATAAATATGATAAAAAATTTATAAAAAAAAAGGGACCGGGACAGGACGACCCTGTCCCATGTCCTATCCCGTCCCATCTCGTCCCGATTTGCCTTGTTTTGAAAAATTTCAGGACAGGTCTGTCCTGTCCCAATAAGGCCAGGACCAGAACAGGCTGATTGGGACGGGCCGATGTTGAACACTCCTAAGTCTAATTGTTTATATCTCATATTCCTAATTTAATGAAAAAATAGTTAATGATAAGATGGCACATTGCCTTTTAATTTAATTAGTTATGATAAAATTATGATGTAAAACTTTATATGCACAAATATTCCCTTTGTACTTTTATTCCTTTCTTCTGCTTGCTTCTTCTTCAATGGTGTTCTTTTTTGGCTTTAACTAAGCTTTATTCAATTATGTTCTCTATATTATTCCTATTTATTTTCATTTCACTAGAAACTGTTAAATTATCTTGTAAATGACGTTCTATAATAGCTAGTTTATTGGGAGAATTATAATGGGGTCCTAATAGAGAAAAATAATTGTTAAGAAGTCTCAATAACAATCTAAACAATTTATAATAACAAGTTTCAGAATAGAAAATGATAACTTTTAGGATTTGTCATGTAATTTTTTTTTTTTAACATCATTATAATTCTTCCTAGTTTATTTACTAGGACCTAACTCCAAAAGACCCTGTCAAATCCTACTATCCTTAGCTAGGTCATTCTAAGGTTGGTTGATGGATCAATCTGATTTGGCCAGTGCCCAGCTAATGGTAGATGATAAATTATAAAGGACAAGGAAAGTCATATTGTGTGTGTGTGTTTTTTTTTCCCTCATTACAAGTATCCTCTTAATGAAAATAATCTTGTTCGAATTACTATTATGTATTAAATGTAAGCATTTTTGCTAATAGGAATTCGACTATTAGTTCACTATATTATGATGGATTAATTCTTTCTACTAGACCTAACTTTGTTGACAGAAAAATCATATTGTTAGCTAGTTAATTAATAAAAGTATATCTGTATGAAATTTTATAAGTTATTTAGAAAATATATAGATTTGATGAGGATGATTTATGAATATTTTATTAAAATTTTCATGTTTGGTATTCGTATTGATTTATTATAGCATAGTATTAAAATCCAACTCTGGACAATTAATCAAACCAATGAACCAATTAATCTCTTAATCAATCTAGTCAAGAGTTTTATACGGATTGATTGGATTATATATATATATATATATTTCCTTATTGAGCCTGAAACTACATTGTTTTTAGTTTAAAAGGAAAAAAATTATAGTCTATCATATTTGTACTTTTATTACTTTATTTGTAGTTTATACTCCTCTGGTCCTAAATATTAAGCCATTGTACAATGAGTATATGAATATTTTATTTACTTGTAAATTAATATCTTTTTTATTTAGAAATTATTTTAATTATGATCGATTTTGATTCTGAATTGAATCACTATCTCTACTTATTCATTTACCAATCTATTCAATACATTGATTTATGATTTGATTAATTTTAATTTTTATGTGTTCTTATATATACATATAAATATATATGATGATTATTTGACTATGTTTGATTTAAGTAGAGTTGGGCCTAATTAGAATTTGGAAGTAGTTCTCTTAAACACATGTTTTTGCATTTAGTGCTTGTTTAAAATGATAAATAAGTTTTTTAAAAACGACTTTTCAATGAGAATTTTATCTCAAACTTACGTGAATATGCATGTTTAAGGTGGGAAGAGAAGCTTCCCAGCTACGTACAAATATGATCACAAGTGATATCTTCTCATGGCATGCATGCTTAATTCCTGGAAGAAGCCCAAAGCACTTCAATAACTTCGAATTGTCTTTCAAGAAAGCTTTACGTACCATGTATGTTTCATGAAGCTTGAAACACCCAACAGTAATGGAAAAAGAATCACTTCCTTTTGGCCCCAAAGCCATCCCTTTCATCCCCTTCAACCTCCGCTTTCTTCTTCGCCTGAAGCCCTCGTCAATCAATTTGCAGTATGATCATTATAAATACTCCCGTCTTCTTCCTCAACACTCAAAATCTCTGCACCCTCAAAGAAGCTCGACAATAATATTATAATTGCAATTAATCTATGGATATGAGTGGTGATCGTCTTCGCGTTGTCGCCAATGGTGTTCCAAGAACCAGAACTTTCCACTATTTCTGGTGCCAAACTTGCCAGCGCGCTGTCAGAATCCCCTCCTCTGCAAACCCTAATTTCTCTTTCTGCCCCTTTTGCTCCCGTCAATTACACCTCGAACTCGATATCACGAGGCCCAGGCTTCTCATGAATAATCCTCCTAATTTGCAGCCTTCACCTGCCGCTCAATTGATCAACGGATTGGCTCTCATTCTGGATCCATCCATGAGAGAGCGAAACACTCGATTCGATCGAACAATTCGATGGACTGAAGAAACCGAAGAAGGACCGAATTCTCAGACCTGGATGACTCTCCGATTCGTGAGACCAACTCGTCCACAACTACACCTTCCCGGAGCCACCGAAGAAAACAGGCCGCCTCCGGCAGCAGACTCCGCCATCGAAGGGTTGCCGACGGTGAAAGTGACGGAAACACAATTGGCGACCGATCCGAATTGCGCGATTTGCAAAGACGAGTTTCAGATTGATATGGAAGTGAAGGAGTTACCGTGCAAGCATTTCTATCATTCGGATTGTATTACTCCTTGGCTTCGCATTCACAATACGTGTCCTATCTGCCGCCATGAGCTGCGAAGTGCTTCATCTTCTTCTTCATATTCAAATTTCCGTCAAGATTTCTCACATTTCGACTATCGATATGGATTTAGGTTTGAAGATGCTACAGAAGGTTTGAACTGGATTTGGAGCCAGCTTGTTTCGTTCCGACCTGTGCGTGCAATTGTAGAATGGGCTGAGAGATTTTTGTTTGATTTCCCGGAAAATCATGATCGAGGAGGTAAGCTTCTGTTATAAACCCTTTGAAGCACCAAATACGCCAACATATCAATGATACTGAACTTTTATTCTACTGAACTTTTATAATTCATTTACCACTTGTTTTGATGGAACTAAAAAAAATTTAAATTTCACCAAATTTTTTAAAAATTTTTTATTAATTCTATTCTGAATTTAATAACTTTTCAACTTTACTCACATTTAATATATACAAATTTTAATGAAATAACAATTTTACATATCAATACATGGAATGCAAAATAATATATTTAAATGAAAATTTTGATGATGTAATTTATAAATAGAATGTAAAAATTCTCTCTCTAACATATAATATAAATAGGATCATAGAAGTATATTGTTTTGCCAAAAAAATAATTAATAATATAGTGATATTAATTCTTAATAATGTGCATAGTGTTTTGGACTATTGGTGTCTGTGAAAGACACAAATATGTTTTCCACCTAAAAAATCTTGCAAGTGATAAAGTTAAGAAATTTCTATAAAAATGTGTAATTATTTACAATCAAGTATTGTCAAAACATATTAAAATGTTTTTACCGAACCTGATTTGAAATTTATTAATTTCAAACTTCTTTTTGTAGGATTCTCCCGTGAACATATGCATAAATATAAAAGTTGATAAATATAGAAAAAAACAAATATGAAAAATAAAAATCATTCCAACTGAGTTTTCAATATTTTGAACACACTTTTTAGAGATGAATAGATAGGTACGTATGTGAATAGGGGCATTTTGGGTAATTAACATTTTTCTGAAATGTCACTAAATGACCAAAGTTTACAATTGATAATTTCATAATTTCAGGGTACTAAAGTGTGATTTTATATCTACATTTAGTCCCAGAAATGTATTAAAGCAATGGGTTGGTAGGCTTTAGAAAGAGCTTAACAAAAAGGTTTGTGAGAATTATGCAGGTGGCCCGTGGTGGCGCTCATTGTTCATGTTATAGTCTGATATCATCTGATCTCATGCGTTAAACTTGTTTCATTCATATGGCTGCAACAAGAAGGTAACATTCTCCTATTTATACACTACATAGAATGGTTTCAGCATTTCTTCAACTAACCAAACCTACTAGGCTGCTACTGTAGTTGAATATCGTGGGAAGCCCAATTTCCCAAAAACAAAAGGAGAGGAAAAGTCTGCATTTCTTATACCTTGTTTTAGCTTTTGTGTCAAGTGTTTCAAAGTTTCTTTCCTTAAAAGATAACGGGAAAGAGGATTTGGAACAGACCGCCTGCTGAGGTGTTGGCTATTCTACAGGAAGATTTGTTGGAGCTGGGTAGCTATCGTAGAGTGTTGATCTAGCTGGGGTTTATCCCCCTGTGTTCCCAAAAAAAAAAAAGATAATGGACTAAAGTGGAGAAACAGAGAAAAATAAGTGAAGTTTCGTCTTAGTCCATCTTTTCTCTAGCTGGAGGCTCTCCTGTCTCGCTCCTCCAATTTCTTTTTCACCGACGCCAAAGCTTATACATGTGAAAATAGGACCCGATTGTGGTCCTGCAATTATGCAATTTCTCTAGTTTGTTTTATGTGTGATCAAACGTTACATAGTAAAAAAGTAGATTTATGCGCTCATGTAATAGCATAGTAGTAGAGGTAAAAAAGCCCGCACAATTATGGAACTGCATTACTCCAAAAGATTTGGTTCATTCCCCTCATCTCTCTCTAACTTATGAGTTATGACGTGACGTTATGTGTTGAAGTTGAAGCAGCAGTTGAGGCAGTACGCGATCTTAGATTGGAGGAATGCATGATGCAGATTGTATAGTTTCGCAAGAAATTGAAGAAGCAAAACACAGGGAATACAAATTTCAAGGCCACTAAAGCTTAGGCATAACACATAATATTATAACAGTTGCTGCATGCCGTACATAATTGTATACGCACCATACACAGTCCATAGCATACACACACAACATATTTACTGTACTGTACTTCTGCTTTTCTTCTTTTCCCATTTTACTATCTACTACAAGATATATACAAGATTTTATTGTTGTTTCATCTCACTTCATAAAATCCTTCGACAATTTTCATTTTGCCAAATTTTTAATTATTCATTTTCCTTTTGGATAAATTAGTCTGTACCACAAAAATACTAAATATGTTTTTAGAAATATGTTGACGTTGATCAACAAAGAAACAATTTGGGATTGGCTTGAAAAAATGTTTTCATACTTCTCATATATTTATATTGTACATCGCAAAATTACGTCCAAGCCCTGAGTTTCAGCGTGTCTTGAAATTATAGATCTAGTATGTCTTGTGGATAGAAAGAAGGGAGAAGTATAGTGTGATGAACACATGACTTTTTTCTGGATATTTGCTGGAGAAGTTTTGACAGTTAAACATTAGAGTCTGATGCGCAAAGAACCCATAATACTTGGCATATCATACACTTGAATGGATACAAAAGACGGTTCTTCTCGCATCTGGAAGCCACTCTTTGCTCTTAATGAGTGGTGCTGTTAGTTTTGATTTACAAAAAAAACAAGCAATAAAACCTTATGAAGAAACATATAAGCACATCACTTCTTTTGAGACCCACTCTGACATGGTTATATATTTCCCCATAACTGACTTAGTTTACTTACCTTTTATAGATGAAATCTACCATCTACCATTCTCTCTATGTGATAACTAAACGGGAGGCCTGCCAACTTTTTGGCTTTGACCCTTTTTATCCGCTTCTGATTTAAAAGGAGCTTTCAAAGCGCCATTACGCTGTTGTCTCCATGCCGGGATTTGCAGATCCTTCATTTGGCAATTTCTCCATATCTTTTACACTCTGATATTATGGAGAAAGACAAAAGAGACAGTACACAGATAGCATATAAAATACCAAGATCAAGATTTCCCCAAGAGAATCACCACACGCTGATGCTGCACCAAAGAGAGAAAGAACAGTGTGCTTATGTACTGAGAGAATATAGAAATCAAAGTTTTAAGATAACAAAGCAATACGGCCTGAATAATATGATTTTACTCCGGCAAGAGAGAGAGAGAGAGAGAGAGAGAGAGAGAGAGATGATTTTATTCATGAACAGACGAATTTCATAATACTATTAATGTTTTTAACCATTACCAATTAGTCCTGACCCTCATCAGCAACTTCACAGGCACCAAATGCAATAAAGAAAATAGGCGAGAGAAAATGTGCAACATTTTTTTTAGTACCCTTTTTTTAATAGGGGCAAATGTAAAACAATTTATCAATTCAATACATTTCTCGATATGTAAAGAGACTTATATAGAGGAACAGAGTGGTAATCAATGTAACATGTAAGATGCCTCTACTTTAATGTTTGATGCAAACTTTTTGTCTAAGGGGGGCTTCTTGAATCCTTTTTAATTAACATCTGCATTATACCAATTAAAAATCACTTATAATTGTCCTTAGGGGACAGATCAATTTAGCATCTAGAGACTCCTTTTATATTCTTCTACACTATTACCCAGTGACGAAGCAAATCTTGATTTAAGTTGCCTAGTTGGTAGAACGAAAGCGCATCAGAAGGAGAAGCAACGTTCCATCATAAACAATGTAACCCTCAAAAACAAAAATGTCTCCCCCATCTCGGATATGCAAATAAATGACTATGCATATACAATAATGTCACTACTGATGAAGTAAAGAAAAATTAGTAATCACTCTGACGTGATGTTCAGCCGGGGGGATAGCAGCTAGAGACTAACAAATAGCAAAGTATTTATAAGAATCTTTAAAATGTCAGAAGCATCAGGTAAATCTTATCATTAGTGCCGATTGGAGCAAAGCATAAAAAGTGATAGGAAATATCCTACTAGAGAATATGAACTTACATGAAGATAAGGAAGCAAGTGACCGATTTATTGGCTTCACAGCTTTTTCTTTGCCGAGGCCAGGTCTGGAGCCATGGGTTGTAGGTGCCTGATCTGGGGATATCCCAGACGTAGGGTTCACAAAATCTGAGGGAGGAGGAGCAGCAGATTTAAAGGATGGGTTAGAATAAGATTTTGGGGATGATCTCGGAGGATATGAGAAGCCACTGTATGGACAAGGGTCAGGTGGATGCCCCGTCTCAATAGAAGGTGCAGGTGATGACGCTTGACAGTCAAAACAAGGGGATCGGTTAGCAGAAGTTGGGGATACTGGTAAGTGAGAAGGAGAATGATATGGTGAGATTGAAGGTTCAGCAGCATCAACGGGCTGTGGGGATGGAGCAGGGGCAGAAGATGGTGCCTCTCCATGAAACATGCCCTTAAAATAAGATGATAATCTGACTTCTTTGACTTTGCCAAAGTTTGAGTTCCCACGGCCAAGATTTTTCTCGGTGAAGCCCGATATTATTCTAGCCAATTCAAGGTATCTCTGAGGTGGAATTACTCCAAACGTTGACGTGACTGAAACCTGCACTGTCACTGGGGGAGCTACTGTTGAGCCAATTTCATTTGATAATTGAACGTAAACATTCTGCATGAAAAAGTAGAAACAGGATCAAAGACAGGCAACTCATAATATAAGCATTCCTTGTCTTCAACAAAAAATATTTTATATTATAAATTCTTCTCAATAACTAATTTCCCAGTCTATGTTTTCTACATTAATTTAGAGTTTTGCCTCGTCCTTAAATGAATATTTCAATATATATTGCATATCAACAAATATCCAACAATAAAAAGGCTATAGTGGTACAACCCACTGATAATCATAAGGAAATCAGAAATCTATATGCACTTTCAAAACCAAATTGCATTTCCTACTACCCAAAATAAAGAGTGAAATGGATAGTAAGACTATACCTCATCGGATCTTAGATCCAAGTCCAATCTCAGCTCATTCTTGAAGTCATCAAAACCATCCAGTATTTCATTTATTGAACTATTGAGAGTAAAATTAAACAGAATCTCAGGCATCTGAATAATAGGACCCAGCTGCACAGGTATTACAGATATGCCTCCAGGTACTGTTGCAATCTCAAACATAGACGCATTCCCAAATATTGATGTTGTCAAAGTTAGATTAGATTGTTTGAGGAACAGTTCAACCAGTGATGACCTCAGCAGACTCAAGTACACTGAGTTTATTGGAACATTCAGTGGCTTAGAGAGAACACCAAACGTTACATTTGCGAAGTTAGGTGTACCACTTTTGTGTATGGATAAAATAGCTACCTGTTAGGAGCAAGAAGCCTAAAAGTCATTTTCTGTATTTGAACCAAGACTGAAAAAAATGAGAGGAGAAGCTCGAGGACAAACCTCTGTATTTGGGACACCTATTTCACCGTATATATCATATTCTAGTATTTTAATGTACGGAATCAGCTGTGAAACTGGCTTTTCCAGTTTGAAGGATGCTTGAACAGTAGCTGAAATCCACAAAAGAAAAGCATTAAGAAACTTATAAAAAAAGTATAATTAGAAAAATGATAAAGGAGAGGTCTTAGGAAAGAGTTGGAGAAAAGAGTTAAAAGTGTTTTGACAAACCACATCATTGCACAGCATAAAATACATGAACAAAAAAGGACTTTGCTTTCACCATTACATGATTGCCTTAGAAGGGTTTATTCCTGTTGGAGATAGTAACACACCCAACCCATCAGAGGATTGGCCCATAAATTATTTTACTTCCGACTTCATCAACCTGGTTTTAAAATCTCGGGCAAGTGGGAATAGTCTTTTGTATATAAACAAAGAATACACGGGAACAGTAGTATTTGAGGATCCCCGTATAACAGTTCCAATAGTCACCACCCCAAAAATGCACAGTAATTCAAAAGCCATCCTTATTGAACAAACGCCACGAAGCTATTTTACAACAGTGAGCAGCTAAGTACAAAATATTCAAATTCATTAAATTAATTATTGATGAGTGAAGCTGTCCAGCCTCTATACCGATCGGCAGCATTATGCCCTCATTATTTTGTCAGGCTAAATAGACAAATACTTAGGCAACAGACCTGCCCAGCGTAGCCAACGATCTAGGAGAATCTAATCTAGGTTTAATCCTCTAAAATCAGAACAGAGAGGTGCGACTGAGTCCTAGGCTAAATAGGAATAATTAAAGGAATTAAAAATAAGATAAATAAAAAGGGCTTACGTGAGAGAAAAGTCCCTGCCATGTTCAGCGACTTTCAACCACAAGTGATAACTCATTTAAATCAGTAACTATTAACAGATTCAGCATAAAATTATATACTAATTATAAAAAACTGCTCAGATGGTCATCTGAAAAGTAAAAAGACAAAGTTATTCAAGCTTCTGGAACATGGTAAAAAATGAAAGCCACGTCATGACTGAAAAGGCCACAGCCAGACCGTTCAAATGACAATGAATGCCTAGGATTCATGTCAAAAAGGGTAGAAGCAAAAATAATAGCAAAAAATATGTCAGTCTGGCAAGATCAAGAAGTTATACTCTGCGAAACTTTATCATATTCTTATCTGAACTGCAGAATTAAATCTCAAAAACATAGAAATTTACAATAGACTTGAGTTGTGCGTTATTGCAGAGATAAGCTGCAGCATTCATCAGCATCACAGGTATAATCATTTATTCATGTTTCATGAGTGATAATAAGTGCAGTAGGATCTCCGACAGCTCCTTTCCTTCTTTAGTTATCAGCAGTAGTCAACTCTTTATTGCTATCAATTCTCCGTTGTTTCCTTTTCTAATTTGTCATCGATTGTATGTATTTCCTTCCTTTTCTCTGTTGCGAGATTCTCAGGAACTCCATAGCATTTCCTCTGCCTTGAATTTTGAATATATGTACTCATTTCATTTGGATAAACACAGAGCCTCAAACCATGAATTATATTGAAATATTTTGAAATAAGCATTAACCACCAGTCCAATTAGTCCTCACAGGCCTCAGAACAAAGGCAACTACAGAGACTAATTAGCATTATTCAATGGCAACACATTAAACATAGGGACCCCTCATCATTAGCAACTCTTAGCATATGATGTTGTACTCGACCTCCTCTGTATGTCTTTGAAATTTTTAAGTTAGATTTTTCTTCATTATGTCGTACATGCTCTTTCTCTCCAGTTTTGATATGTGTAAGAGCTAGGTATGTCGGGTCAGAACCGATTAGCATAATTTAGAAAAGTTTATTTCTTTCTTTCAACCAGAAAAAAAGAAAAAAAGAAAAACTGGATATCAGAAGACCAAGATTGGAATCAATTTCATTCTAAATGATATCATATTTCTTTTTCAGCTTTAAATCTCAGGAAACTTCATGGTTGAAAAGATGACTTGAAAAATGGGAGGTTCTTGTGTATAATACAGGTTTCATGGAGTGAAACTCATTTAGTTGCGTCATGTGAACAACTAGTAAATTGATATCCGTCACTGATCTCACTCAAATCTTCTTATGCTGTCATGGGTCACCTGAACAACAACCATTAAATTGAATCATATTCTTAATTTGTTCCAAGCAAGGAAATCGAATGGATTTTTAAGTTATGGCTTCCATTGCAAACAATAGATTCAAAAAAACTTCATTCAATATAGACTACATTTATATCTGATCAAACAAAATCAAGGAACAAAAAACCAGACCGGAGATTAAACCGGTCGAGACATTGGGTCAAGGGTTATTGGTCGGACCGTGGTCGAACCGTGGTCAAACCGTTCATATTAAAATAATACAGTTTAACTCAATATTAAAATAAAACAAAATTTATAAATAATAATCATTCAAAAAAATATAAGAAAGCACGAGTGTTAGGACACCAAAATTCAAATCATCTAAGCCAAGCACTAGGAGATCACACATGTCGGAAATCAAGCAATCAATCATATCATTCTAACACTTTTAAAAAAGTTTAAATGGAACAGCGCTATGTCATAGTCACCTACAGGCTACAGCTACTAGCCTGCTACGCATTTAAATTATTCACAGGAAATAGGAAGTATGGGCTTGGATTTTAAATTAACCGTTGTGGTTTCCCATGTTCCAGCAATTTTTTTGATGTCATTATTTTTTCTTTTCTCAATGTGCAGCAGTGAGCAGACTGACGGTATGGTATCGTTCTATCATCTCAATCACTTTCCAGTTTCTTCCTTCAACCGCTCTTTTACTTCTCTTCTTTACTCTCTTCGTCCTTCTCCATTTTTCACTTGGCCAGACAAGGAAAGAAAATAATGGAGCTTAGGGAGCAACAACTCGAGCATGGCCTTACCAGAAAAGAGCAATAGTAATGAAATGAGAAGTGGCTGAAGCTGAGAGCAATAGCGACGCAGGCAAGAAGAGAAGAGGAGTTATAGTGACGACTTTCCAGAAAGAGGACGGCGATGGAGTTTTTCTGTTAAGGGATCTGGTAAGGGGAGGGAAAAGAAAGAAAACCGGCGACCCACCGACACAACGGTTTTTCCGGTTTTCACCGGTTTTTTCCGATCCGTTCCGGTTCGATTTGAATCCGGTTCCTTCTTCAAACCAGACCGGACTGGAAGCCGGTTCACCGGTTTTCCGGTTGAACCGGCCGGTCCGGTCCGGTTTTTTTTTCATTGAACAAAATAGAAGAAAGACTATGTAATTTTCTATCTTACTTCCAAAACTGAATTTCAGAAAACTAATTCCTGTCCAAAGAGAGAAATAGTAATCCTTTGTTTTCACTTTTCAATCCTTTCCCCCCTTTCTTGTCATCTAAGCGCGCTTGTGTCAGTCATCTTGACATGTGTAAAGGGCCAAACTTATATGTCCTCCTAAAATCTCTCTAGATCACGACTGCCAAAAAAGACCTTCTACAGAGCAGGAGATCCACAATTTTCTCTTCCTAGATTTAGTCTCCTATTTTTTGGTATGGGTGGCGCAAATAAGTCTATCAGCACTTCCTAAGGTGCAATTGATAAGTTGACTATTAACGACAAAATCGCAAGTTTTATCTTGAATATATATTTTTTAAATTTACTTATAGACTATAGTTAATGTGTGCTTCCATATATAGCCTTTTTAACTAGATATAAATTAAATCAAAGAACAGAAAACAACATGCTTAGTTTTAAGGATAATTTTAAAGACATACGAAGTTTCAGGACATATGTTTGGTGATCCATATACATATCACAGTCAGGAAGCTATCAGTTGTCTAATCTGCAGGAGCAGCATAAACAAGACGTCTAACACAGACATAAGATAGTACTGTCACTCCCATTAGCATGTGTCATCATATAGATCATGTTGAAAGAACTCATCCCCAAAATCTAACAAGGAAACATTTTGAATTTACTCATTTACGTATCCAAAGTTATAGAGAAATATGATCATAGAATAATCTGGCTAACAACTGCACCCCGACCTCTCAAAGCAGAAGGATTCCTCGATCGAAAGAAAGAAGTAAAAGTTAACAGCACTTGGTTCATAGCATCACAGACAAAATCTGAGATCGATCGACAACTACAGACCCGAGATCACCAATAACACCCTCAGGATGTTATCAAGCGCATCAGGACCAAGAAAGAAAATAACCAAATAGACCACAATTAGAATAATTAGAAGATTAGAATCAATCAATCAAAATGTGAAATTAGAAATTCACATTTACTAGATTCACCAAATCATGCCAATTTGTTCACAACATGGTGAAGGGGGGGGAAAAAAAAAAAAAACCTAGCCATTAAAGAGGGAAGGAAAGGGAAAACTCACCACTTTGCTTAATTGCATCGCTGGCATCATACCGAGTCTTTATCGCGAACCTAGGGTACACCCAGAAAACCCCAGAAACCAAAGCAGAAAGACTCAAGATCAAAACGAAGAGGCACTTGAAACTGAACTCATTTGCAAATCTTTGAAGAACCACCGAACATCCCCGGCAGAGGAGTCCCGACGAAGCTGGATCCTCAGGGTCATGGCTCTGCCGTTGCTGCAGATTTTGCTGTTGAATTTTGCCCATTCGCAAAGCATCTGGAATACCCAAAACCTTCACAAACTCTCTCTCTCTAACCAGAGGTGGCAGGACGCAGTGTGTCCCTCAACAACAAGGAGAAGAAGGGTCTCGACAAGTGTACATGAGACAAGTGTTGATGGTGGCAAGCCTATTCAATTAACATTTAACAACTAGAGAGAGACCCGTTGTCCCACCTTTCTCTCTCTAAAAAGGTTCACTATCCACTACACTCTACACACAAAGTACAATCTCTCTCTCTCTCTATAGATTTTCTTCTATTTTATGCAGTCGATGCTTTTTAGGCTACCGAACGTTGAGGAGAAGCAAAGGCGAGGGAGAAAAGGACAGCGTGTTGGGACATAAAGTGGAGAAAGTTGTATCAGCCATATTATCGCCTATGCCAAGAAAAATAGTTGGAATAAATAAATATAATACTCTTCCGGTTTTTAAAATAAAACATATTTAATTAATTTGATTAGATTATATAAGTTAGTTAATTATAAGAAATATAACATATTTTTTCTAAAACACCATAATCATTTTTTTAATATCCTCTCTCTCTTCTACTTAATTATTGTTGAGGGGTATCTATAGGAATAATTTAGAAAAAACTGATAAATATAAGAAATAACTCTTATATTTAGAATTTAAAATCAACTTAACAATTATGTCCTATATTAAGGATCGGAGGAATATATAACACTGATGAGAAATAACAGTTTTTTATCAACACCAATTACTCAAATGATGAAATGTCCTACTCATCTATAATTTTACACACTTTCCACTAATGTGAAAAATTGTATCACCCCTAGTAAAGATGGGAAACTGGTATTATGCTTGATTATTTACAAATTGTAAATAATATTGCTTAGGTACAATTTTTATATAATAAATGATAAAAAGCTAAAATGTTCCTATTTAAAAAAGTTTTTTTAAAAAGGATGTGAATTAAGCAAGTGAAATTTTTCTTTCTTTGATTTTGTACATAGTCGAAGATAAATTATGCCTAATTAAGAAGAGTTGTAGTCATTGAAGATAAATTGCATTTGGGTTCTTAAACAAATTTAAAATATCACCAATAAATATTGGGTTTAATAGAAAAGACTAGTCACTTACAATTTATCGTACAAATATTTGAATTTTTACTAAAAAAGCATTTATATTTAATGTCTAATAATACTTTAAATAGGACTGTTTCCAATAAAAAGGTAGTTGTGTCCAAAAAAAAAAATTTCAGGTATCCTTACTAAAAGTATAGAAAAAGATGATTTAGGTAAAATTGTGGTTGGGAATGGGATAAACATTGATAGGATTCCTTAACAAGTCAATCATAACATTGTTTAAAGCTTGTAATTGCATGGCACTTTTGTGCTTCGTAAGCTAAGGGATTGACCAATGCGCGCCACACGCGTGGACCATGAATTGCCTGGGCGAATACATATACTTATAAACAGGGTTACGCGTTTGGGAAGCATAATAATGAAATAGAATAATATGAAATGAAATTATAGGAGAATATTGAAAAGTAATTCTACCGACGTGATTGCCACGCTGGACGAAATAAAATAATACGTAGTTATTATCAATCAATCATCAATTGTCACTTATAAATCAGTTCATACGTTCCTCTCATGAGAAATCCCTTATTATGTGCAATTAATAAGAATGTTTTGAAAAAAAAAATATAAATTTAAAAAATTTTATATTTATGACTGAAAATAATATCAGCTTAATTATGAGTAATTATTTAAAAAAAAATATTTTTCACGTCTGTACGAATTTTAACTTGGGATTTTGTATTTAAGCTATTATAACTCTTTCCCCTCATAACGCTTTCTTCTGGTTTTAATATCCAAATTTCATACAAAATAGTTTTTTTTTAAGAACTATTTCTAATTAACTTGATAATATAGAATGAATATTAAATAGATGAATTCAAAAAGAATTTGATTTATAACTTGCTCTTTAATAGCATGCTCCTTTAACCTCATTCTTCAATTTTAGCTCAAAACATAAAATACACTATAGGTGAAAGGAAAAAGTGATTTTTTAAATGTAAAATGTCAAATATGTTCTTAAATAAAAATAATTATTATATAATAAATACAATAATGCAATAATATTTTATGAGAAAAATTGGTCAAAGCTCTCTAATTTAAAAATTAATTGTGCAAATGTGCCTATTTTTAATGAGTGTAATTTTTTTGAGATGTGTGCAACCTAACTTAAATTTTATGCAACATGAAAGCCATTTACTTAGAGATAAAATTATGTTTACAGAATTAAAAAAAATTATACTTGCTAAAAATAAGTTGTGCTCACTTGTGTGAATTCTTAAATACCTTTGCATATTTAATTTTTTAATCAGGAACTTTTAATCATTTTTTACTATTTTATATTTATACATTCATGTGATGAAAAGGAAATAGTTTTCCCAAGTGGAACCCAACAAGGCCTATGGGTATAATGAGTTGCAAGCCACATCAAATTCAAAAGCACACCAATGGAATGATCCTTTTGATTCCACTAGGCCTAGTTCTAATGGCTAGAGAGGCCCCCCAATCTTTGTATACAATTTTTGGGAAAAAATTATTATAACCATATAATTAAATAATAATACTTTTTTTTAGAGTTAATATAATTTTTTGTCGTTTAAATTTACTTTCTTTTTTATTTTGATTCCTCAAGTCAAAACACTGATCTCTATAATTTAATAAAAATATGAATCATTTGCTTTTTGAAAGATCAAAACTTATTATTTCAAACTTGAAAAACCAAATATAATATTAACCAATTTTTTTAATATTTGAGATCTGAACCATGAACTTTCTCATTAAAAAATGATCAAGTTGAATCATTAAAAAAAGAAAAAGAAAAAAAAGGGATGACTTATTAATTATGGGATGAAGTTGTGATGTCGGTGTAAAGATTAGGCAGCGAATATTATCAGATTGGCCAACGCTTTCCACTTCAACGTCACTGTGCGAGTTTGAATGTCCATTCTCCGTTGTCCATTACTCGTGTGTGCCTTCTCGCGACAGATCACCCTAACGATTTTTTTTATTTATAAAATATAAATTTTTATTTAATTACAGGAAAATAGTTTCTTTTGAAACACACCGACATCACAAATCACACTTAGTTTTTTTTTTTTTTGGGTTTTATTTTCAAGACTCAACAGTATCCTCCTTTGACAACAAATTTATTTTTGCTTACTTTTGAGAGTATCTTTCTAACACGTGACACATCATCTTTAAGGTTTTTTTTTCTAATTTTTAGAAATATTTATATTCCACAATAAAGTAATATAATAAAAATCAATTTAAGTTGATTTTTTAGTTTTAATTTAGGGTAAAGTGTTTCATATGCAATTTCACCCTTAACTTTTCTTTTTCTTTTTTTACAATTTTACCCTCAATTATTGAGTGCGGGGTAAAATTGTATTACTAAAAAAATAAGAGGTAAAATTAGACATGGAAAATAAAATTATGAGTAAAATTTCACATTTACTTTTTAATTTGGGGTTAAGGTACAATTTTGCTTCTGATCTTTAGGTGCGATTTTGACACTAAAAAGCAAAATTATACCTCAAAAATAAGATTGTGGGTTAACATTACATCTTAACCCTTTAATTTATCTAATAATTATACTTAAACGTTTTAATTGATTTCAATTTCAAGTTTTGCAAGTTCATTTTTTTGGTACCCTTTCTTCCCTTTCTTGGAGAGGTAGTTGAGGACTTTTTTTTTCGGGGGGGTTTAATTGAACATTCAACAAACTCTTAGCTTAATCTGCGTAGGGTTGCTTGTAAGAATTTATTTGGAATGTAATACCGAACAGGAAATAAAATAAAAAGATTGATAAGTTAAAGAATACAAAAAGGGTTATGTACTTCTTTATTTTAAGAATATCAAAATTAAATATTATTACATAATGGATGCAACCACTTAATTGACATTATATAAATATAATAAAAAAATTACATTTGTGTCCTTCACACTAAAGGGTACCTGAAATGACCTCAAAATTAATTATCACTTTCATTTGGTAAATTTATTTAATATTATGAAAACTTCACTTGTTGTGGCTTTTGATGAAATCAACAAGCTAGATCATGTTTGTAGCATAACTTTGTCAGAATTTTTATATTATATATTATTAATTCTAATTCACATCCTTTAACATCTCCAAGAGGCTATTTCAAAAAAAAAAATTATAATTTTAGAAATCAGTTACTTGTTTGGATTAGCTTGTTGATACTTTTCACATATAGGTGCAAGATGAGTGATAACTTGAAAAAGAATTCCATATGGCGTGTCTTTTGGGTAAAACAAGCAAGATGAGTGAATAACTTGAAAAAAACTTGCAAAATCATACTGTCCACTAATTTAAAGATTGTAGCAAAAAAAAAAAAGAGGGAAAATATTGGGATAATGTGGAATCTTGCAAATGGAAGCAAAAGTCAGAAATGGAATTGGATAGAGTAGGTAAGAATTACGAAAAAGGAATAATTATTAAAATTTTGAGATAATGATGGGTAGGTACCCCATTTCTGTGAAATCAGTTAAAGCAGCATCTATTGTAATCCTATTCATGGCTTGGCACAACCAATTTGCAATTGCTTGTTATCTTCTATTTTCTAAATTAGCTCACTTGCCTAACAATATAAAATAGAGTACTACATCATTGAATTTTTTTTAAAATATGCAAATTACACACTGCGTTATAAAAAGGTAATTTTTCAGTTTGGCTTTTGCAAAGCCCAGTGAGCCGTTTGGATTTTTTTAAGAAAAATACAATTTTACAAATACCTATAATTTTTTTTTCAATTTTTAATTTAGTACCTATATGCTTTCTAAAATAAATTCTTTGATTTTGCTCTGTTAGTACCGTTATTCTGTTACTTCTTGTATGAAGAGTTAATAATTCTAACAGGACTAGGTTACAGGGATAAATATCACTAATAAAGTTCTCTTTAGGCCTGGAGGTATATCCTGACCCTGATGAGCTCCCGGGATCTAACTCATCTAAACTTTTATTTACAAAAAAAAATATCACTAATAAAGCGAAGTTAAATGATTTAATGAAGAGAAAAAAGTATTAGTACCGAGTTTAAGATTAAAAGAAGATATAGGTACCTACAAAATAATTTTTCATTTTCTGAAGCACAGATCATAGTTTTTATAATTATATTACACGAAACTCTCCTAAATTTTGAATTATCTGCACAGATATAAGAATTTAAGAGTATCCATGGCAACGTTTCAAAATGATGTTGAA